AAGACCACAGATAACAAGCAGTAATTCTCTACAAAGAATTTCTGCACCACTGACATGAGTTCTGTTAGGCCTTATCAGGAATTTAGCAAAAAGGGTTAATTCTTCCAAACTTTAGTGCACTTATATACAGCATATTCATTGGAACACAAGCCCTCACCCCTTAGACATCAAAATATAAACTTTCCAAGTTCATCCAATCCTCTGTTTGACAACTGAGAAGGAACCCATACTAACTTCAGAATCTTGTACACACTAAGAAAAGGTAGTTATCTGACCCAAAGCAGGTCCTCAAGGCTGGGCCAAGGGCAAGTCCCTACAAGTTGTTATTATGAAGGCCAAGGCAAATGTTGAAAGAACCAAGGCTAGATCCACTCTACTCAAAGTTCCAATGCTCTGTACAACTAAACACTCCTTTGCTCTCTCCAATCACCACTGGGTTTATAGTGCTTCTCCAAAAGGATTCCAGAAAGCCCCAAAGTTATGGCACATACAGGGGGGAGGGAAAAAAAACAGCCGATTAAATTCCCATGATGCCAGGGTACTGGGTAGTTTCCAAGGGCAGAGTGTTCTAGAAAAATGCAAATAATTCAGGCTCTCCAAAGAAATTCCAGGCAAATACAGACAGCTGCTGTCTTAGAAAATCATACAGAATAGTAGTTCAGGGAGCTCGGATGGAAACGCACAAAAACAGGCAAAACACTTACAGATTATCAGGGATTCTAACTCACCACTGAGTATTCCATCCCCATCTCCCAGTTTATATGTCCCCTTAAAAGATTCTCCGTGCAGTATATGGTATCTAGCCATATTTGTGCCCATTGCCAATGTAATAGCTTCTAAGTAATTGTGGGGCAGGGGGGAGAGGGTCTCAATGTACTTTAACCTTTTTTTAAAATTTACATGAGAATTAAAAATGTCTTCTTTCCAGTATCCAAATATTTGCCACTCTGAGAAAATAAAATTGGGGGGGGGGGACAAAAATAGAAGTCGTTACTCTGGCCACATCTCTCCCAAGGACCAGCCACAAAAACATAGGTAAAATAAAAATAAAATTCTGATAATCACCAATGAAGGGATTCATACTTGACACCGACACCGATTTTGGAATTTCTGGGAAAAAAGTACCAGCCATAAGAACTGTTGCATTAGTCTCACACACCTTTTTCAGTCTTCAGCAAATATGCTTACAATTTTGCTGCATTAATTCCCCTACTCATTTTTAATTCTCTTACCTCGTGCTCCCTTCCCCAAATACATATTCGGAAATTTTAACTCCACTGTAAAACAAGGCTTTCTTTAAGGTAATTTCAGTAACAAACTGAAATTAGCCTCACCAAGAGGCCATTCTTTAAGTCAAATGTGAGTATGCAGCAAGAAAACATCTGTCATCCCCGTGCCAAGGACTCTGAAGGATTTAAATCACTCACCTCCAAAATGTGAATTTTAAAATAAAAAAATTTTTAAAAAGGACTGTCAGTTCATAGGCCAAATTTAAAAAAGTCATTCCAAACCAAATATCTGAGATATATAAAACAATTTAAAATTTTCTTTAAGTATCAAGTCTTACTGTTGAAGCATTCTTTTAACCCAGGTGTTCCAAATAATGTCAAAACAAAAAACAACAGTCAACTTAAAACTGCCATTAAAAGGGGGGAGGGGAAGTGGAACCAGAGCTCACAATACTACTTCCCAAGCTCTAGAAAGCTTTCTATGGGTGGGAGGGCGGTGGAGGGGGACAGGTCATGGAAATGAAGTTTCACTATTTATAAATACTGTACATGCTTTAAAAGATCCCGGGTTTTCCAAAGGTCTTGGCTTCCACTTTGAGTGTAGCCTTATGACAGTTAGGGCCAAAAACAAAGCAAGTGTGAAACAGATGTAACATACCATCCCTACAAACACAAAATGCACATCCCACAAATACAACCAGTGTCTAAGGAACTAGAAGCTTATGAACTCTTTATCAGCTTTTCAATTATACTGTCCTATGCAAATGACTTTCAAAATCTCTGGCAGGCCCCAGGAAGTTAAAGCACAAGAAACTATATTTAATTAAAGATTCAGTCTAATTCCCAGTAGTAAATCACAGGAAATATTTAGTTCCAAACCAGCCTCTCCTCAGTTCTAAAAGTTAGGTTTGGGTTGATTTGCATTTTAGAATTCGATTTCTTTTTTAAGCTAAACGTCATAGTAAAATGTGTCCCTTTTATGAATCTTTAAAAACAGATGAGTCTTTCAAATCTGAGAAACTTGGTTTTAACAAGTAACTCATCTTTATGAAAACTCTAACCAGAAGACTAGTTATGAGTTAGAATACTTAAGGTTGTTTCTTTTCTTCTTAAAATATCCTTTTACTCAAAGTGAAAATGCACTTGCTGTAATCTGACTTGCACCNCCTTTTACTCAAAGTGAAAATGCACTTGCTGTAATCTGACTTGCACCAACGGACTCTCATTACACCTGAAACATTTACTCACTTGAGAACAGCAGCCTGCTCCCTCCCAAAGCCCCACTTGGTTTCCACTGGAGCTGTCACTGGGCCTCCAATTCTGAACAGATAGTAACAATTCTTACTATCACTTCATGGACATTCTAGTTACAGTAAGTATATTTTTAAAGAAAAAATTATAATTCCATTTAGGTAAAAAAAAATTGTAACAAGAAAGAACCTAATTAAAAAAGTTTGGGGGTTTGATTTGTCCTTAATATCTATTTTTTTTAAAAGCACTTAATCTGGGGCACCTGGGTGGCTCAGTGGGTTAAGCCTCTGCCTGCCGCTCAGGTCATGATCCTGGGGTCCTGGGATCGAGCCCCGCATGGGGCTCTCTGCTCAGCAGGGAGCCTGCTTCCCTTCCTCTCTCTCTGCCTGCCTCTCTGCCTACTTGTGATCTGTCTGTCAAATAAATAAATAAAATCTTAAAAAAAAAAGCACTTAATCTTAAAAGTCTAGGTTATGCTCCTAGTTTAAGAAGAATACTCTGATTTAAGGCCCTATGAGAGGCAAAACTAAATATAATCCCCAAACACTGCCCTTCTCCATCTTTGAAGAAAAGCACTCCAGCAAACTGAAGTAGATTGTATCCATTTCCAAGGACATAAAAGAATGGTGTAAGTACACACGGTACTTTCAATGTCAAAAAAAAAAAAAATTTTTTTTTTTAATGGCAAATACTTTATAATAAATAGCTCAAGCAGGGTTGACAGATGAGCAAGTCAAGTACTTAAACTCCAATGTTAGGTAAAACTGGATGTGGATTTTGTGGCTTAAAAGAATACATACCAAGCTTTTTGAAACAGCAAAACTGCACGTAATGCCTAGGAATGAGATTGTAAGTGGTACTTTTACTCTAAAACACACGTTGGAAAAAATAAAATCCTGGCTCCTCCTCCAGGAACTTCAATAAGATATGAGTAACTTAACCTTTTTGGACACACAACCACAAACATGACAGCGTATGTAAAACCACCGTGGTGTAACCAACTGCGCAGCAAAGATCAATCTTTATTATGCTATACAGTCAGGATAAGGGATGAGGAAGAAGTTCTCAACTTAACTTTCCTATCGATCCCTCCACCTGTGACAGTGAGAAACCGTCAGTTCAGAAGGCCACACGGCGAACGGACCCCCGGTAAGCCTGCCCACAGCCTGTCCTGAGAGCCCCCGGGTCTTTTCAACCCGCAAGTAGGGAAGTACCTGTCCCGGCCCTGAGAACCTCTGAGTCTCCTCTCCCTGAAAACCAAAAAAGAACCAGAGGCGCCTCATCTACAGTCCTCTATTGAAGCAGGACGTCCCCACACATTCCTTTCATGCGCACCTCCACTCCCACTCCCCGAAACACTTGTCACAAAGACCCCNTGCGCACCTCCACTCCCACTCCCCGAAACACTTGTCACAAAGACCCCAGCCTCGTCTGTACTTCCACCCTCGGTAACACTGGGGTGGCAAAGCGAGAGAGAAGGTACATACATCTCCAACTCTCCTCACCCAGAGCAGCCTCTGCATGCCTAATTAACAGCCTCGGACCACGGGCGAGGCCAAGTTTGGGGGCTTTTCCTTGCGCAGAGAAGTGCAGACCTCGCAGCCCCGCAGCCGGGCCGGGAGCTGCTCACCGCCCTGGCCCGCTGGCCCTTTAAAAGCGCTCTCTTCCTACGCCTGCGGCCCCTCCCTCGCCCTCGCAGCTCCTGCTCCTGCTCCTGCCCCCCGGCCGCCCAGGGTCACACTTGAACTTAAGCTCTCCCCGCAGGCGGTGGCCGCGCTCCGCCAGCGGTGGCCGCCTCTTCGCACGTGTCGGATGCACTACCTCCGGCTCTGCTCGCGGCCCCCTGCACTCGAGGTCACTTCAGATAAAATCAAAGCAAAATACACACCGGCCTCCAAAAACTGCGCTGCCTGCCCCCAGGGGCCGGCTGGCGACCTGTCTGTCCCCTCCACCTACAGCTCCGTGCTCCGGCGGCGGGGCCACGAAGAACCCCGCCGCGCCCTCCTCAGCCCAGCGCGGCGGAAACTGCTCTGCTGCGCAGCCCAAAGCTGGTGGGACGCGCACCGCAGGAGACCGAGAGGAGCCGCCCTCACCCCGCAAGGTCCTGGAGGAAGAGGGTTAGTGGCACGAGTCCCCTCCAGTCGTGGGGGAGCAGACCCCAGTAAACCCCTTCCTCTCCTCACTGGCGAACTTCTCTGCCTTCTCTGATGTCCACTTCTTACCGTACTTTTTTCACTCCTAATTCCCAAGTGAGCCCCCTTCCCCGTCCCGCTCGAACCCTCACTTGAGCGCGCTCACACACTTATTCCTGTCCCCCGACAGGTCCCGGGCAAGCCCACCACGCAGGTCTGCCACTTCTCGCGCTCTTCTCTGCACGCGCCGCCCGCATGCCCTTGCACTTTCAGGGCAAGCAAACTTCCACAGTCGCCCCCTCATGTGCCCCACCACGACCTCGGGTGGAGGCAGGGGTCCCCGCGTCCCCCCGCTCTCTGTCCAGCCTTGCGCCCGGAGGCCACTCACCTTCTAGCCCGCCGAGCTGTTGCTGTCACCCTTATCCTTGACGTAGGGCACGCTCTTGAGCATCCACTGGTAGAGCCGCTTCTCCGCTGAGCTCTTGATGGCCTTGGTGATGACGTCGGCGTAGGACAGGTTGCCCCACGCCTTGTGGCGGGACGAGCTGCTCTTTCGCGGCTGCCCGGAGAGTGGCCCGGTGGCGGCTGGGGGAACCGGCGGGTGCTGAGATAGCGGCCCGGGCGGCGGAGGCGGCAGAGGCGCCGGGTGCAGGCAGCCCGCCTCCTGGCTCTGGAAGTCCCCGCACAGACCCCCGGTGGCGGCCGCTGCGGCCGCCACCACGGAGCCAGGCGCCTGCGGGAAGTCCCCGGGCTCCTCCAGCAGGCTCAGGTTGCTCATGAAGTCGGCGTTGACAGCGGCCGCGGAGGCCGAGGGCAGGCCCGCGTTGGCGTCGGGGTTCGCGGCCTCGCCGCCCGACGGCGCCGGGCCGGGCTGGAGGTGGCCGAGTTGGACTGGCTAAACTCCGGCCAGGTGCACGAGCGCGGCCTCGGCAGCGGCTGGAAGTCCGGGTGAATCTCCACCACCTGGGGCGCTTCCGCCATGGTGACCCCCACCCCTCCCCCAGCCGCGGGAGAGCCAAGGGGTCGAGCGCACCACACGGNCCCTCCCCCAGCCGCGGGAGAGCCAAGGGGTCGAGCGCACCACACGGGGCCGAGGGGGAGGGGGTGCGAAGAGCCGGTCCGAGATTTGGGGGGCGAGGTCCGTGCCTCGAGCCGACGAAAACCGGGAGGAAGGCGCGGCGGAGTGGAAGCGCGAGCCCAGAACTTAACTTCGCGGGTCCATCAACATCTAGACTCTTCCAGGTCCGCTGCACCAGCAGGACTGCAGGCCAGAGTCACCCGGCCGGACAGCGGTCGGCGTCGTACTCCTGCTGACAGGGCCCGCAAACAGAAGGACGGACGGACGCAGCGGGCCGCTCGCTCTCCCCGCGGCGCGACCGCGACGCTGCTGCCTGTTGAATGTGGCGGCGGCGGCGGCGGCGGCTGCAGCGACTACGCTGCCGCCCGACTTACGGGATCTGCCGCCGCCCCCCGCCCGCGGCGCCGCGCGCGCCGGCCCGCCCCTGACGGACAGCATGCGCGACCAATGAGCGCGCGGCGAAACCGCCCAGGCAGCCAATGGTCGCCCGCCTGGGCGGGGGCCGGTTTTCCACCGGGAGGCGGCAGTGGTTTGGTGGGGGGTAGTGGGGTGTTTTTCTCTTTCACTCTCTCTCTTTCGCTCTTTTTCTCTCTCTCTTTCTTTCTCTCTCTCTCTCTCTCTCTCTTTTTTTGATCTGTTATTATTTTCTGGTAATTCTCAAGTGTTTCTGTGAGTCTCTCGCCCTCTCAGTGTTTTGATTGCTAGGAGGCAAACCAGCGTGGAGGCGGCGGCGACACTTTGTTTACTACTGAGGAGCAAAGCCGAGTACTCGGGAAGCTCGAGTGGAACGAGTCTCTTGCTTCGCCTCGACCTCCTCTCGGGGCCCAGAGTGGGGCGGGGCGGGGCCGGGGAACGCTCCTCGCTCGGCAAGGCGCTAGGTGGGCGGCGGAGGTGGCCTCGCGGAATTCTACTCAATCGCCCCCCTTTTCGACTCCACCCACGATTCTTTTGCAGAGAAATGTGGGGAAGTCGGTGGGTTTTGTGTTTGTTTTTTGTTCTCTTTCCCTGCGATCTGTCAAATTCTCCAGCCCGCACGCGCGCTGCACAGCAAACCTCCTCCCCGCACCCGGGTCCCGGCGGTGGAGTGCGCGCGGGGGCCGCCCTCCCTACGCCTCCGAGCCCGGAACCCACCTGTCCGCACCCCCAAGCTGAGCCTCGCGGTTCCCTCTCGCCGGGGGCCAGGCGTCCAGTCCACCAGCCGCCAGCTGGGTTCACTCCATTCTTGACCTAAAAGGCTAGAAATGAGGGAAAGGGGACTCAGCGCGCCGAAGACAATCCTATTTCACATGCACACCCAGACTCAAAAGCATCCTAGACCTCATTCCCTCTGTGGGAACGTCTTCCCCTCGGCGGGAACCTCAGACTCTAATAATTCAGGGGCGGCGGGGGACGGATCAGAGAAGAGCATGTAGACAGAACCTTGTCACTTTATTACTTACCCCTAATACACTTTCACTATTTGCTTGTTATTTCCTTGCTGTTGAGGATGGAAGTGGCAAGGTGTCGAGAAGTAAAAGCGCCCAAAGGGTAAGACGAAAGCCTTGGGGCTCAGCCCTGTCCCAAACCCAGGTTCCTCTAAACTGTTTGCCTCGAGTGTCAGTAAACCCGTCACCCACCCCACCCTACGTTTTTCCATCTGGGCTCCAGGTCCTGTCGAGATCAGTGGGGCCAAAGGTAGGAAGACAATGATCCTTGTGTGTTAGGGAGCAAAAGAAGCAGTTTTCAAGAAACAGGGTTTTTTGTTTGTTTGTTTTGGTTCGGTTTTTTAGGAAGAATATGGACGGCATTTCCTTTCATAGGGATGGGATCACTCAGGTTGGAAGATGAACAGAGTCTTATATATCTTTTTTTTTTTTTTTAAGATTTTATTTATTTGACAGACAGAGATCACAGGTAGGCAGAGGCGGACAGAGAGAGAGAGAGAGGGAGAAGCAGGCTCCCCGCTGAGCAGAGAGCCCGATGCGGGGCTCGATCCCAGGACCCTGAGATCATGACCTGAGCCGAAGGCAGAGGCTTAACCCACTGAGCCACCCAGGCGCCCCAGAGAGTCTTATATATCTTGTGCAAAATGACGGCTCAGTGGATTAAGCCTCTGCCTTCCACTGGGGTCATGGTCTTAGGGTCATGGGATCGAGACCGATTTTGGGCTCTCTGCTAGGCAGGGAGCCTGCTTCCCGCTCTCCCTCTGCCTGCCTCTTTGCCTACTTGTGATCTCTCTGTCAAATAAATAAATAAAATCTTAAAAAAAAAAAGAAAGAAAGAAAAGCAAAATGACAGCTCCCTATTACTTTAAAAATCCGCTTTTCCTTACAGGTTTAATTCTTCAATTAAAAAAGTCGTGTCTAAAGAAACTTGGGCCTCCTTTACAAAAGTTTGAAAGAACTTAGAGATTTATTTCTTCCTTTACCTTCTCACTATCATCTCCCTAGTTCAGACCCCTATTTCTTCATAATCCACTTATCGCAAGAGCTTCCCACGGATAATGGGGGGCTGGGGGAGAAGGTCGTGAGCCTTATGGATGAAGGATCGGGTTAGTTCCCACCCTCCTCCACCTGTGGTCTCTGCAACTACTATCAAACTTGGACAATTTGGGCCTCCTCTGCCAGCCGCTAGGGGACCTCAGTAACCCAGATAATGAGCTCAGAGGAAGGAGGTTAATGTGGAACTGTTGATAGCCTCAACCTTGCCAATCAAGCTCTGCAGAGGCAGCCCCCATTCAGATGGCCACACCCTGCAAATAGGCGGTGCCCTAGTGGATCATTCTTGGCAAAGGAAACCAGCTGCAAATTTGGCTTTGCCTTCCTTTCAATTCCAGTTTTTCATGGCTTCAATGAGAGGACAGTACTTGGTGAAGGAAGTTTTCTTACAGACTTTCCTCAGGTCCTTGAAATCTGAACTGTCCTGCCTAATTGTTTTAAGTGTTGTAGTTTGCTTTTCTTTGGCCTTGTTATGAAATTTGACTTGAAGTAGGCACAGAGTACCTAGAAGGCCAACGTCCCTGACACAACAATTCCAAAATCACTGAACGTATGTTTAAGGTGTTTCTAGCTTCCAGCTGCCTACTCTACTTACTGAACCTTAGGGTGCTGGTGAACATTTGGCCTGTTTCCAATCTTCAGCTTGCACAAGCTATTCCATAATAATAACCATACATAACTCATTTTGCATCTGTGTAAGTATATACACAGGAGGAATTTCCAGAAAAGAGATCACTGGGTCAGCAGTTAAGTGCATTTGCAATTTTGAGACACACTGTCAAATTGCATTCCATAAGAGTTTTATCAAGCTAATCGCTAAAGGTTCTTTTCAGCTAGATCCACAGAATGTTAAAATTGAAAGTAGACAGAGATCACCTTGGTAGCCTCCTTTAATTTCTCCATAAGGAAATCGAAGCACAGAGAGGCTGATTTGCCCAACGTCACACAGAAGTGAGTGCTGCTGCCATGGCTGGAATTTTCTGCTTTCCCATCAATAATCGCTTCAAAACACAAACAGAAAATAAGAAATATCTGCTATTCCTGTATAGTGATAACCACTCTAAAACTTGATAGTATATTTCCTTCCAGTCCACCACACAGATTTTAGTAATTTTAGTTGGATGAACTCCACTGAACTAATCGAACTTTGGATTTGGGAGACTGAAAAAGCAGACACAAAAAAGATGAGAGTGACAGTAAGAAAATGAAAGAAAAAAGATTACAAAAGAAGTGATTTGGGTTTTTTTAGTCGAAAATACAAATGTTTTCTCTCTTTAAAGATTGCCAAAGTATTTAGATTGGCACTCGCTCTGTTTAAGAGAAAAAACTTCATTTCTTTAGTATTTTTTGTGGTAGCTGTTTGCTTGGAAGGCAGATACTAATGATTATCGCTTACTAGCTGGTGCATATATCCCAACTGGGAAGAAAAATGTTTCATGTCAGGTAAGAACAATTAAACTGAAAAAGGAAATTTATCCTCACAGAGTCCATCTCACAAACCTATATGGTGTTCTTTCCTCTGCCTGTTTTTCGGAGTGGTTATCACACCACCCTTGACAGGAAGACTGAGGGATGGTTCCTTTCCATCAGTTCCTTGGCAGAAACTTCTGCATTTGCCCCTCACTACCAGCATACCGATCTCTGGTTTAAGTTCTTACTTGTCAAAATAGATAACTTAAGTCCAATTTATTTATTTTTTTATTATTATTTTTTAAGATTTTACCCATTTATTTGACAGACAGAGATCACAAGTAGGCAGAGAGGAGGAAGCAGGCTCCGTGCCGAGCAGAGAGCCCCACACGGGGCTCCATCCCAGGACCCAGGGATCATGACCTGAACCAAAGGCAGGCTTTAACCCACTGAGCCACCCAGGCACCCCCTTAAGTCCAATTTAATGAGTAAGTGAAAAGTCTGGACATTTATTTTTCAGTTATGACACTTCGCTTCATACTTTGCCTTCCCTTTCCCCAAGAACTGCCCATTTCTGATATTCTGTCTGAATTATTATGAGGTACTGCTATCAGCCTAAATTGGCCTTTCTTTACTTTGCCCCTAGAAAATAATCTGAAAAACCACAGCTTCAGGTTCTTAAGCCAATATCCGGAAACCTACACTAGAGTGGTAGCTCTAGCAATAGTAAAAGGAGTCACTCATTTTTCTTGAGGGATAAATTCCTTTGGATTTGGTTATCCTTTCATCAAAAATGTATAGAGCACCTGTTATACATATGCCAGGTACTGTGCTTCTCAGGGTACTTAATTTTGATGGCAAGTTGCCTGAGTTCACAAATGACTTTTTTTTTTTTACTTTCCTTTATATGATTTTGATGTCAGAGTTAGGATGATGATACTCTTATTTTTTATTCATTTATTTATTTATTTGACAGAAAGACAGAGGCAGGGAGAGAGGAAACACAAGCAGGGAGAGTGGGAGAGGGAGAAGCAGGCTTCCCACTGAGCAGAGAGTCAAATGTAGGGCTCAATCCCAGGATCCCGGGATCATGACATGAGCCGAGGGCAGACACCCAAGGACTGAACCACCCTGGTGCCCCGGGGCCAATGATACTCTTTTTTTTTTTTTTTTTTAAGATTTTATTTATTTATTTGACAGACAGAGATCACAAGTAGGCAGAGAGGCAGGCAGAGAGAGAAGAAGGCAGAG